GGATATTCAGATATAATCTATACATGTTTTTGTGGTGCGCCTGTTTGTCCAGGTGTATCTTTTTCGTTCTGGCCATATCTCTCTGAACGTATCCATGTGGCCCAGTTGGATGAGAGTCTTGATTGTTTGTGATGTTAAAAGCTGGTCTCTACTTGCTGGTTGTTTGTCTAGCTTGAGGTTGTGAAGAGCATTAAAGTCTCTAAGTGTGATTATACTCCATCCTTTGTGATGTCTAGTTCAAATTCTCTCTTGTATCTAGGTGATTGTCTTTTTATAGTTCTCATTGTTTTGTGCTGATATATATATTCCGATTATACTTATGTGTTTGTGGCCTTTGAAGTTCAAATCGATGCATATTCCTCTTTCTGGTATGGATTCGATTTTGCCTATATGGTTTGCAATGTCTTCTTTGATCATAATTGCTACTCCTGCTCTTTTGTTGTTGTTGCTCTAGGTTGTGTGGTACCCTGTAGTCTTCCAGTGTCTGTAGCTATCTGAAGTGATTTGTGTTTCTGTCAGTACTGTTATGTTTATCTTCTCTGTGCAGTACCTTGTCCATGTGTTCCTTTTTGTCTGGTTGTTGAAGCCTCTGACATTGTATGTTGCGATCTTTTATGTTTCCAGTTTTTTATACTTTTCTATTTTGGTTTAGATTGTAACTGTTTTGGTTTAGTGGTTATTTTTCTTAGTGTTTGTTCTTGGTTGGATATTGTTGTTGCTTTTTTGTTCTTTGTGTATGATGTGGGTTTGGGTGGACTGTGATAGTATTAGGTGTTTGGATTCAGGTGTGACTTGCAATGTTGTATATTCATTTTCTATATTGGTGTTGCTGTTTGTGTTTGTGTCTTCTTCTGGGTAGTTGTTAATCGATTTGTAGAGTGTTAAGAGATTGTTGGTGATGCTTTCTGCATCTGTTGTGTTGCTTTGGTTGTTACTTATATTATTGATTAGTGGTAGAAGTTCTTGTGTTTCCAGGAATCAAAGTGTGGATTATATTGGACAGGTCGTTTATTGTTTGATTGGTATTGTTGATGGTTTCGTGAATTTGTCTCTGGCGTGTTTGGAGATCTATGATTTTCTGTGCTGCAGTTGTCTTGTTTCCTGATGTTTGGATTTGGTTTGCGGATTCTTTAGGGGTCTCTTGTACTTCTGTTTCTTCTGTTTTCATGGCGCCAATGCCATTCTCTTTATAGTACTCCAAATTTGTGATTCTTTCATTTATGTTTGTTATTTGTTGTTTATTTCTTGTATGTCATGTTGCATCTGTTGTAAGAGCTTGAGTACTGCTTTTATGTCTCTGTTTTCAATTGTGTGGTCTGTTCTTCTGCTGGTGCTGGTGTAATATCTTACTGCTGCTGCATATGTGCCTGGCCTAGTTTTTCTTGTATGGAGTGGAATGTGCTTCCTGATTTTCTGTGTTTTTGCTGGTTTGAATTTTTTGTAAAGTTTTTTAAACTTTGTGGCTTGCTCTCTGTTATACTCTGACCAGTGGTTTCTTCTTTTTTTGATTAGGCATATAGCTGCCAGATATGTGTCACTGTCGCATATAGCACATAGCTTGGTGTCGATTTGTATCTATATAATTTGTGTTTCTCTGATTGTGAAGTTTTGTTATATTGTGTAACTTAGATCATTTGTATTTTCGAAACTGATGATTGCAAATCTCTTTCTTTGGTATAATTCTCTATATAGAATATAGCATGTTTTTGCTTTAATTTGTTGGCAGATAGTGTGAAGATCGAAGGCTGTTGTGTTGGATGAGAGGTTTGTGAGCTTTGCCATAGTTTGGCCTTTTTCTTTCATTTGTGCTAGGTTCTACTGTACATCAAACACCCTGACCATGTCGACCTTGAAGAGGATGCTCCACATGTCTGTGATCTTCTCTTTGCTGCTCTTGTATTTGTATGTAATGATGGCTGTTTGTCACATCTGTTGTGTGCTTATTGAGATGCTTATGATTTGCTCATATTTGACAAAGGTTTGTTATACTTCTATGAATTTTGCATTAAGGGAAATATTCCATACTCTGATATTGTTTTTCCTTTTTTGAAGGGAATCAGGCATGGATATGAACTCCAGATATGTATTTTTCAGATTGGATAGGTTTATGGTACATGCTTGCACTGCCACATAGTAATTTTCGAATGTAGCAGTGATCAACTTTTCATCTTTTTTCCCTTCGCTGCAAATATTGATGAGGTCTTCGGGACAGCCTAATGCTTTGGTAAGGTATTGAATTTTCTTTTTGGTTGTGTCTCCGGGAAGTACTTTTGCTTCAATTCCTACTTTGCTTCATTGACATCCATATATAATGCTTCTGTTGAATGAAGAGTGTGGTCTTGGCTTGCTCCATTGGTGCATCAGTTGTTTTCCTTTGTCTTGGGTACTCCATGTAACATTTTGGTGGTCTGTTTCCATTTCTTTGTCAGAATTGTCTAGTCTTGCCCATTTCTGTGAGTTGTCTTTTTCTTAGAGAATGCTTGCCTGTTCAATAAAGGGTTTTGTGATTGTTTCTATATGGAAGCTAAAGTTCTTTTGTTTGTAAATATCACTCCAGAGTTCATGTGTCCCGGGTTCTTGTTGTTGTTCTTTAGCTCTTCTGTAACCTTGTCATGATTCTTATTGTCCTGTTGTTCCTTTCCATAGGTGATTTGCTTAATGGTTATTTTTGGAAACTTTTTAGTTTGTTCCTGTTCTGTAACTTTCATTTTATCATTTTTTCCTTTAGTTTGCAATTGTTTCTTTGCTGGTTTTTGTGCTAGGTATGGTATTATTTCTTTGCTTTTCCAGCTGGCCATGTTTTTGGTGAGCTTATTCAGGTTGTAGTTGGGCCTGGTTGAGGTCAAGGTGCCTCTGAGAGTTCTGTTTGAACTCATGTCTCTTTCTCTTCACTGTATTTCCTAAAATAGTAATTGTATATAAGTGGGAAAGAGTTTCTGATAAAGTTTTCTTGCCTTTAACTTTATAGATAGGTATTTCTTATATTTATTTGCAGAAATACAAGAAGTTTATGTCAAAGAAAAAAAGAAACAAGTAGAGGAGACTGTAGTCTCTTGATGTAAGTATTGTTAATAAAAGTGTATAGACTTTATTACAAAGAAATATAAAAATTTCCTTGAAACATCTGTTTTTTGTGTTGGCAAAGGGATCAGCAGAAAGAGTTTACATTTTTCATTTAGAATTAAGTTATTATTGAAAACCTTTTCTATTTATCATATAATATATTTTATTAATTTTATTCAAATTAATATTTTAATATTTTTTGTATAAAATATGAATTTTGTATTAAAGATATTCTATATATTTTCAAATATTTTAAGGCTCTCAAAAAGTTGATCAAATTATCAAGACTATTAATTAAATTCTTTATTTAACTAACAATTATAAACTAATTTCATATATATAATAGGTATTGCTACTATATAAAATAATAAACAGAACATTTTTATATTAGACTTTATTAACTGGATTAAAACAGTAACAAAATCTTTAATAATATAATTTGAAAACCATATTACTTTATTATTAATATTTTAATTTCTATTGGAATTAAATGAAATTTTAACAAATTTATCAATTTAACTAATCTCTTCAAATGAAAAAACAGTAACACTTTATAGGCCAAAACCATTTTTATTACTATTCTATAAAAAGAAATCTCCATTAATCTATTTTTTATAATTGCTAATTCATTTATTCAATCTAAATATATTTACTTTAAATATATTTATAGTTTAATATTTTCATTATCCTATTCTGTTTTCTCTAATATTGAATAGATATTTATAGCTTCTTGATATCATTTGACAAGATACAGTATATTGTTTTAAATTTTCTTTTCAATATTAGTTACATGGTTACTGTAGGCAAGTTAACATTTAACTCTTTGTATTAACACATGAGAAATGTTGTTTCTTTTGCAATGTATACCTTGTCATATACAAATCAAATAAAGAAATAATTTTTATCTACAAAAAAAATATTTTTTGTTAAATATTTCTTAATGTTTAAATAATTTCTAATAAAATTATATTAAAAATTAATTTCAAAACTTATTAAAAAATTGGTTTCAAAGACTTATAACTAGCACTGCATAACCATTGGGTTGCTAAAATAATACTGGATATATTTTATTTTTTTGTTAATTATTAAAATACCAAACATTTATAATTATCAAACAAGAATTATCATGGATTTTCATTTTTTTAAAAAATTAATTTTTATAAATTAACTTATTATTATAATATTAAAAACAAATCATTATATATTTATATCATTTTTGAATTAGATTTTTATCATTTATTTTAAAAAAATTTCATCATGCAAAAATTAAAGAATCGAGCATGTAATAGTATGATTTACTGTATATTACAAGCATATAGGATAAGAAACTTAATCTTGAAAATATAAAAGAAATGTATTAATGCATTAGCAGTTGTTCAATTTTATTTTTGTTACAGCTGCTGTATATTTTGTGATTAAGAAATAATCTTTTAAACTAAGGGTTTATCTATATCGTATACAGTACGCTGTAGCTTCGATCTAGTCTATTATGATATTTGATTTTTGGAGTTTTTAAATACTATGAAAGCTGTTATCAAAAATAACACCCTGAGTGAAGGTCACCCAACAGCTCAACGCTGCATTAGAACTGGGATAAACAAGTATTGTAACAATATGAGCTGATTCAAAGCATTCTTTTTTAATAATATAGTAAGCAGAGAATGTTTGTATAAGCCTGAGTCGGCATAAGAAGGCATTTGTGCGTGCTACAACATCATAGTATCCAAAGAAGTGTTCATTTTTAGTCTGCCACATTAAAGTTTTGTTTCCAAAAAAAACAATTTGGCTGGTAATTTTTCCCATAAATTATATAGTTCTGCTTCTTGTTCATTTTTTTCAAAAACGTACATATTTGCAACAAAAAAAATCTTTAAAAGCACTACAAACATTAAGAACAATTCTTGCTGTCTCTTCAATATATTCACGCATTCTGAAAAATGAAAAGAAATCTTCTCGAAAGATTATCAAAGAATTTCGGGGAATATCTAGAAGGAGGATGTGGATATGATGTAAAAATACACGTTGGGAAATATTATGATCAGAAAACATTCGAAGCGCATTCAATGATGCTCGCCGCAAGATCACTTTATTTTCGAAGGAAAATTGATGACATACCTATGAATTCAAGAAAAAGTGTTATTGAATTACGCGAATTGGAAATTCCACCAAATATTTTTAAACCATTGTTGAGGTAATATACGCGCGTATATTCTGTGTGCATACACATTTTTGACATTTATTCCGTCGTTTGTACTAAATATATTCACCTTAACATCTTAGATATATTTATACTGGAATAGTACCGCTACATAATCTTGAAGCGGAAGACTTTCTAGATATTCTTTGTATCACGAACGAACCATTACTAAGCGATGATCCGAGATCAGTGGTTGATTTTATTCTCGCCGCTGACAAATTAGAACTCAATGAATTGGTAAACTATCTTCAAAATGTCCTCATAGAAGATAGAACTGAATGGTTATACAAGAACATGGATAAGATTTACGCGCGAATTTCCAACCACCCTTCATTAAAAACTTTCAAAAATTTCTACAAGGACATCATTAGAAACAATATTGAGTTGATGTTTCAGTCGGATAATTTTATAAACATACCATTAAGCGATGTAATTCTAATGGTATCCAGGGATGATCTTTTGGTGGATGAAGTTAAGATCTGGAATCAGGTGGTCAAATGGTGTGTCTCTCAATTCCCGGATCTCTCAAGAAATCCCGAACATTGGACATCTAAAGAGTGCAACAATGTGAGGTCAATGATGGAAAATTTCATTGGTTTAATTAGATGGAAATATATTTCCGGAGATGGATTCACCAGTCATGTTATGCCATATGCAAAAATTTTTCCAGGTAAAAGATGTTAGGATGTTTTCAGTTGAATGTAAAAATAAAGACTAAAGTTATACTGTATCATAATTACAAATTTCATTGTTAGTGAAGCTATATCAGGACCTTGTGATATATTATGTGAATAAAAATGAGAGACCGAGATTTCTTGATTTACCAAGGCGTGTAGGGAAAATTGAGTCGAATTTGATACCCTTCAAGTATGCAAGTCTTATTTCGCAATGGGTCGAAGATCAAAACGAGAAATCCACTTGGCAATGGTTCGCATCAAAAAAAGAAGTAAACACTGAAAAAAAGACAATCCAATATCGTTATAATCTTCTTATCCGAGGTAGCCAAAATGGCTTCAGCAAATCTGATTTTCTCAAAGCATATCTATATAAAGGACCAACCATTACACTCGTCCGACTCGAAGGGACAGATTTAATAATCGGAGGTTACAATCCAACTCCATGGACACCTTCCGAAAAACCCGATCCTCGAACACGAAAGAGTTTTATTTTTGCATTTGATAATGTCCACGGCAACCCGGTGGAAGTTGGAAGGATCAGTAAGATAGAAAATTCTGGGACCTATCCTATAATATCTATAACCGATAAAGGTTTAAAATTCGGTGAAGATTTGTCTTTGACATTTGCCGACATCCAAAATGAAATAAGTTCCACCCTGAATTATCACAGTATTGAATACACTCTACTTGAAAATGTTCAAAAGGAGTTGGAAAATCCTATTCAAGTAAAGGATTACGAGGTCTTTTCGATTCATAATATTTCATCTCCCGATCAGTTCACAATATCGAAACGTATCATCAGACGTGCTATATTATATATTCGAGATTCTCTACAATTTATTTTTTTAGATATTTTTCCAAAATTTATGCCACTTCTTTTGAAACATACCACATTATGTATTCGAAATTCTTCGCTCTTTATTTTAGGTATTTTACAAAAACTTATGCTACTTTTGAAACATATCATATTGTATATTCGAGATTCTTTACTCTTTATTTTAGGTATTTTACTAAAATTTATGACATATACCATATTGTTTATTCGAGATTCTTTACTCTTTATTTTAAATATTCTTCACAAGCATTTTTCTATATTTCTTGTTTTCATATCAATTATTCTTGGATTTTGTGTTCTGTATTATTTTGGATATTGGGCTCTATATTATCTTAGATATTTTTTATGGCATTTCGGGTATTATGTAATATACTATGGAGATTGGATTTTCTGGGAATTTATTAAACTTGCCTATTTATTTTACTTTATTCTTATTGTTATCTTTTATTTTTGAAAAATAAAAATCGGTTTTCTATTTACATATTTAATATTGACCTTCTATTTTGAACCTATAATTAAAACTTAATGCTAGGAGAAAATAATTAATGATTTTACTGAAGTCCTTATTTTTTAACAATGTAGTGACAATATAATAGGGATGTAAATTTTTTTAAAAAAATAATAGCATAACAGTAGCAATTTAAATATAATTCTATTATTATATTGTAATATAATAAAAATAATGCAAAAATAAAGCAGTTGCAATTGTCAGCAACTATTCTGTAGCAATATAGTAATATAACAGTAGTATAAAAATTATTTAAATAGTGGCAAAACAGTTATAATATAGTTTCTATTCATATTTAGCAATATAAAAATAATGTAGTAACAATATATCAATAATGCAACAATAATGTAGTAACAATTTAATAATATTATTATAACTGTTCTATTATTATTTTATAAAATAGGTATTTTTATTAAAAGTATTAAATTAAAAATTTTTAATTTCAATAATAATAATAATAATAAGTTTTTTAAAAGAAAATAATATAACAAATTTTTTCATATTATCTAGGCTTTTATATAAAGTTTTGCAATTTGTTTAATTATTATTATAAAAAACTATTTTTTATCTTTTATTAACAAGATTAATACTAAAAATTTTATTGTATTTTATTAATTATTATAATTATTTTTGATTTAATGTTCTAATTTTTTTTTAATCAACTAGCAAGGCCTTGCCCAACATACTTTATTTAATTACATGTGTATTTCTTGTTACAAGATTTACTATCTATAAACTATTCTAGATGTATGTTTTGCTATATCGATTTGACTCCATATCAGCTTATTGCCATTGACTTATTTTACAGTATGTGTTAAGGCTAATGTGCCAAGGCTCCATTAGTGTTGTTATTGTATGAATAATAATAAAAATTGAAATTAATTATGTTTTTCCCAGTTTAACCAGTTCTCTATAAGTTTTTCTTGTAATTTTTTTGCTTTTTCTGTTCTTTTGAATAGAGATTTGTGCTACCTTGTGTTTGTGGCCTTAGTATCAGCTTGAAGTCTTTATTTTTTCTTCTGCTTATGTTTTTGTCTTTTTTTTTTTTTTTTTTTTTTTTATCGCAAACAGGCATTAAATGCGAGACATTTATTAAACATGGTTTATCGTCATTACATTAACAAT